TTGTGGAAATTGAGATATGGATTTTCACGGATAACCTTGAAAACGTGTTGTCTATTTCTAACATGTCTGTCTAGTATAGTTGCTACAAATATCGTCTATATTTAGTACTGCAAATCTATTCTTCATTCGTCTGTATTCAGATTTCTTAAGATACAGATATTACTTAATTTCAATTAATAAGCTAAATGTGACTTTTATTTGTATATTGTAAACACCTTAGTACTGTAGTAATATAACAATCAACTTTTATGAGCAGCAAACAAAAAAAGGTATCTCACGCTAATATCGTAATATCAAAATTTTATAACCTATTTTGAAAGCTTGATTAAATCAAGGTGACCCCTTTATAACTATAACGCATGTACTTTAAAATAGAATCGTGACCAAAATTACTTGATAATTACAGTAGTAATATCCAATTATTTTCTAATTTGGGATAACGTTATGAATTCCATCTAATTAGATAGTACTTAATACCTTCGTTTAAAATTCATGACATGCTTAGTAAGTTCAAGGAGAATATAGTTGAATTTGTAACTGTAGACTAAATTGTAGACCCTTAAACTTCAGTATGTTTTATCACTTACATACGTCTTTGTTACAGATAATCCACCGAGACTTGGCGGCCCGGAACGTCCTTATCACCGAGGAGAGGACGTGCAAAGTCGCTGACTTCGGGCTGGCGCGGGACGTCGCCGGTACCCATGTGTATGAAAGGAAGAGTGACGGCCGGTTGCCTATCAGGTATCCTAAAAATATCCAGATTTTCATTATTCATGTTTGGAGAAGAAAAAATAATATGCTGGCACTTTCCTAAAAATAACAATTCTTAGAAATATAGGCTTCCTCAAAACAACAGTATATAATTCCCGTAGTTTTTATTGGGGTTTATTATATTAAGCGATAAAGTTATATAATTTATGAACAGATGGATGGCCCCGGAGTCCCTGTACGATGATATATTCAGCGTGAAATCAGATATCTGGAGTTTCGGCGTGCTGCTGTGGGAGATAGTGACGCTCGGCTCCACGCCATACCCCGGCCTATCGGCGGGTGACGTCATGCGAAAGGTAAGATAAACTAATAAGGTAAATTTTCTTAGACTTCTCAGTATAATTACGTTATACATCTTTTTCTACAAAATTCCTCTGCATAAGTTTATTTTTGCTCCAAATCTTTACATATCAGCAATCATAATTTATGACTTTGTAGATAATTAATCATGGAAGACAAAATTGAAAAATCGAATCCACCGTTTAAAAAGAGTAAACTGTAACTAACCAGCTTTTAATCTCTTCTTAAAAAAGAAACATTAAACCAATTCAACTTGTGTTAGCTGGCAACTAGTTACTAAAATAATTTAATATGCATTCATAAATGTTGGAATACATCTTAAGCAAAATATTGGCTATTCCATAAATCATTGGTCATTGTATATTATTCTTTTTGTACATCCTCTCCTCCGTCGACTAAAGGTAGGCAACGCCTATGCAATTGCATATGTCTATGAGCAACGGTCACTTCGCTATTTCAGCGATTTCAGGTAGCCGCTCGCTCATATGCCACCTTATGATATATAAAAAAAAATCTATTTATAGGTCCGTGATGGTCATCGTCTAGAGAAGCCTGAGCACTGTCGTCGTGAGCTCTATAATATAATGTACTACTGCTGGGAGGCAGAGCCCACCTCGAGACCTGACTTCAAAGAAGTAGTGGCCATGTTGGAACGACTACTTTGTACTGAAATGGATTATATCGAACTGGAAAGGTTCCCAGATCATTCGTATTATAATGTACAGAATTTAGAAGGCGAGAAAGTGTGATGTGCAATTTATGGCTAATATTTAAATCATAATTGATATTTATTGAATCGTAAAATGCTTTATTTTAAAAATGTTACAGTTATGGTGGGTAAAGCATTATTAAAAAAAAACTGTTTATAATATTGTTTCAAATTATCTCTCTTAGAATTATCAGCTGACAAAATTCATATAAACATTTCAATTTAATTTTAAATAAATTGTGAAAAATTAAATTAAGATACAGAAAAGTTAAAATACTGAACTTTGAATCTTCGTTACATCTAACAATCTTAATTGTTAATTATTTTCGTTTGAAAAACTTTTGTTATTCGGGCATTAAATTGGTCTTGTTGATTAATATGACCACTTTGAATATGTTTTTGACACCCTAATAAAAATGTTTGTAAATTAAATTTTAAAGCATCTTGTATTAAATTTCTCTTAGAAATTTTTCATAGTTCGTGCCAGCATTAAAACCCTTTGTAACTTGAGACAGAATTGAAACCTTTTAGATAATAAACCACTTATAAGTATTCCGTCCAAATATTATGTAAAGGTAAAAGATATGTATATTATATAATAATAATTTTTGCAACCTACTAATTGTTTGTTTACTAGTTTTCTTATATCTTAATGACTTTATCTAAAAATACAAAGATTTGATATTTTATCCCGAACAAAATACATTGTGTTATGTTATCACTTACACATTCATTCATACATATATCCTTGAAAATTACGAAAAAAAATAGCTAAATAAATGAAAATTGCGTCTTATTAAATCGATTATATTTAATATTATTATAATTAAGTGCTGATTTTTCATCGAGCGAGCAAAGAAGTAATTATAAATGTAATTAAACGAATAAAATTTTTGGTGATGAGATTATGCACAAATTTGTGAAAATTTAAGCAAGATTTTGTTCATATATAGCAACTAGTCCTTAGTTATACTTATATATAAAAACGATCTGTACAGAAAATTATGTGTAATTTTTAATTATAAGAACTTTCAATTAAATAAAAAGTTTTGTTCCGATAATAAAGCCTTTTATTCCTTAGCAGTTTAATTTAATATTAATGGCATAATATTTAAATCATATTAATTTTATATAAGTATCAAAATATACCACTTTACTTTGTGAATGAATTCGTCCGATATGCAATTTGCCTACTCTACATAATTTTCCTAGACAAATTACCGACAGGCCACATTCACGATCGGTAACATCTCTTGATTCAATATACATATTTTGAATATTCGTTTTAAACAGACATAGCTCCACCTTTGGCAATAATTATATTTCTAAACTAATTACCGTAATTAATAATAAACTTCTAGTCAGTTTAAAAATTAATAAAAAAACTCGGAGCACCAGGGGCGGAGTTACGCGGTAACACATATTAAAAAAAAACATACAGACAAATTGATAACCTCCTCCGTTTTAAAGTCGGCTAATAAAATATCGAATATTACTAATATTATAAATGCGAATGATTGGATGTTTGTTCGAAAGTATCTCCAGAACAGCTGCATAGATCTCGATAAGTCTGTTAGAACACATAGGTTACTAATTACCTTTCTCTATGGTCTCGACAATGTTAATTAGAATAATATGGGGTTACCTAATTATTTGTAATTTACCTTATTTAAGCTCTGATTATCTCATCAGATGTACATTATATCTTAGAACAAAGGAACTACTAATCAACATGAGTGAAGACGGTGCGTATTGCGAATCCTGTCATGTAATTAATCAGACATTGTCTCACATCAAACCTAATGAGCCCCATTTTGTTGAGAAATATATGCAAATTGTACGATTTAAATCCAAAGGAACCTTAAATCTAAAGGAATTAAAGTATTCCTTTCATTTATATCATCATCAGCACAATACATCCCCACAGAGGGGCTCAGAGCCTAAGTTAAGGGTGATTAGGCCATAGTCAACCACGCTGGCCAAGTGCGGGTTGGTTGACTTCACACGTATCTTTGAATTTCTTCTCAGATTTGTGTAGGTTGCACGACGTTTTCCTTCACCTTAAGAATATTATAACATATCGTGCATAAAAATCTTAGTTCACTGACGCACTACAGGAATACGAACTAGAATTGTTAAGTTAACATAAAAGAAGTCCCTTGATAGAATATTGATAAATGTTTTCATTCAATCATTTGATTATTTATTCATTCATTCTTTATCCACACTATGTTCTCTCTTTTATGTAAGCTATTGGCTTGTCTTAATAAATAAATTATAATAACATCTCAAGAAGCTCTCGCTGCACAGTCGGATTAAGGGCCCGATACAAAAGGCAGTTATCCTAGAAACCGCGCGCATCGTGAGAAGGTTCCTGTCTCTGCAGCCCTGACCACTGGTTGTTTGAGTTATGGGGATTCCGCAGCCGGTAGTGTTCTATTATAATATGTTTTGCCTTTTTTTATATGAAATGTTCTATATTAAAAATATGATAAATAAATGAATACGATATAATAATAGTTAGTTGGGATAATCCACTCTGAATGTGTCAATAAGTTACTTATAAAATACACATTTCTCTCGCCTGTAACACATAAGGGTAGGCAGAGACCACACACCTCTATTTGGCGTAGCCAAACGAACTTCCGTAATCCATTTTTCATTATTTCGGGAATCGGAACGTGACGGGTCAGCAGCGTCGCTCAGAGATATTTGTTACTTTACTAATATTTCTATGCTCTATGCTTATGCTAGAACATGGTTTACGACAATAGTCGAATGGCGGGATACGAACTCCCAACCTCGTGATCGGAAACCCGTACCCTTAACCACTAGGCTCTTGAAGGTTCAGTTCCTTTACAATTAAATTTTCCATGATCCCAGCAACAACTTTATTCTTAAATACTTGATAGAAAACAATTAACTCTTATGTTCATAGTTATATACGAGTATTACGCTTCGATTCAATAGAGTTGTATATTTCATACAAAAGCGAATACCACGAATGGATTGAAAGGTTGCAGTTAAGAAGTCAATACGGCACGTTTTAATCTAGCGCACAAGATCACGTATGCCTTGGATATCGTTATACAAATGGATAATGGATATACTTTACTTACTTTTGAAGCAAAAAATTGATTATTAAAACTAATCCATATAACGAATTGATTTTAATTTCATAAATTTTGTTATTTCATTATTATTGTTTAGAAATTTACTTAAAAGAGTAATGTCTAAAATATTTTTAAGAATTCTGTTACCTTATTTTGTTGTTTTGAATGGAGCAATTAGTCAAGAAATCTTTGGTCAACAATTTATAAGTAAAGTATATGTGTGTTTCTAATACTAATGTTATATTGTCCTTACTACTAGACTAGTACTTACCTAGACTTAGTCCTAATCGATATTAGTTGATGTAAATAGCGACATTTATCTTAAAACCTAGAATCTATTATTTTATTATATAATTCAATCGCTTTGATTTGGCAAGTCTAGAATATATCTATGGAATTAGGAGGTATATTATACAATAAGCCATAGGCATTCCCCATTTTATTCGCGTAAACCTACAGGCTTAAAAAAGCAATATCTTCCAAGGACTGAGTATAAATAAATCAAGCCAGGTATCCTTCGCAATAGCAGTAAAATTTTAATGTTACCAAGAATTCCTTCATTTTATCGTTCTTTTACACAACGCGTAAAAAATAATAAGTTAAATTTAATACACCGTCTTATTGTTTCTAAAATAGAAAATAACGGATTTTACGATAGCGGTGTGACGTCATGGCTATCCATTCGTGAAATTGCGCCGACATGAGAATCGGTTCATTTCACGCGGTAACATTTCCACCCGTATTCCTCGTATAAGTATTATTTATTTTATAAGATTGGTATCACAAGTTTCAAGATGGTTGTAAGTTTCCACTGGCCATGTACCCAGACAAATTAAATAGTCATTAGTTTTTGTTTTGCCGTAGAAACCAAAGGTAATTATACCGTTAATTTATAGTTCATTAGTTAATTCGTAAAGAAAAAGGAATGGTTACATTTTTAAAGTGTCAAAAATATTAAATAAAAAATGTATTAATTTAAAAGGTTGCACTCAAGATAAGATCACATCTCATCGCAATACACTGTATGATGACGTGGATGATTTGCAACCTCAACTCGACCAAGAAATCATAGAGAGGCTCCTGCGTACGGGGGTGAGTAAAAATGTCTCAAATAGTACCAACAATAGATCCTCTATTTAAAGTTATTTTGATATATTAACTAACTCCCGAAGGCCTGATTTAGTCCTCTTTCCCTTCCCCTTTTTTTATAAGGAAAGGATCGTAAGAGGAAGTGGACTTTCCGGATGAAAGGATGCATGGAAAGGGAAAATAATTTCTTTCTGTGCATCCTCTCCTCCGTCGATTAAAGGTAGGCAACGAATATGCAATTGCGTATGTCTATGGGCAACGATCACTTCGCTATTTCAGCATCTCAGGTGGTCGCTCGCTCGTTTGCCACCTTATGATATAAAAAAAACTAGCTGTCCACCGCGACACCGTCCTCGCGTAATTACAAAAAAATTATTAATAAGGCTATGTGTTCTTCCAGACTATGCTTTACATCTATGTCAAGTTTCAGCGAGATCCATTCAGCCGTTTATATGGAAAAAAGAAAAGGTCTGTTTTTAGGGTTTTCCCGGCAATTATTCGAAGTTTTCTCACCTTTCAAACCTTCCCTAGACCTCCATGAACATTTCGAGGCCAAGATAAGATATCCGTACAGCCGTTCTCGAGTTTTAACGAGACTAACAAACAGCAATTGATTTTCACATAGAGACAATGGAAACGTTCATTTTAACGTGAACATTACTAAATTACTAACACAAAAATGTACACTCTAGAAAAGAATTACACCTCTACAATAACATGAAAATAATTGAAAAATCAAAATAAATACGTATATACTCTCACACTTCATTTCATTTTAGTGTTTATTACATTTATTTTTTAATAATTATGACTCATTATTTTCAGAAATTAAATTACGAAACCGGAGGAGCGTTGTACCAATGGTTGTTAAGGCGACCTTCTATAACACCAATAACATATCCATACATTGTTTATAATGATATGTTTCATCCATAATTTAAAAAATGTGGATGAGCGGTATTTTTATGGTGGATGGTATTTTTTTTTAATTGTGTTTTTTGGAAATTATATTTATTATAAAATGATGAAATATGAATAATATTTTTCTATCTTACCGATAGAAAAAATTAAGTTTATGTTTAACTTGATTATCGATAAAACACGAATAAAACGACATTTTCTAAAAATAATTCCTAGCTAGATCGATTTATCGCCCCCGAAACCCCCCTATATACTTAATTTTATATATTGAGAATATATATATGTATATATATATATATATATATATATATATATATATATATAAGAATTGCTCATTTAAAGATATAAGATAAGAATTTTATCATATTTTGTACAGATGTACCGATCGCATAAATAAAATAATAAATGCATTAAATTATATTTCCACAAATTTCAAATCAAGATAAAATGTATAAATACATATATAAAATTTTTCCATTCCTGCACAGTTTTATTATGTAATTTGAAGTCCTCCACATATGACCTTTAGTACTTGAACGGAAAATTACTCATGTGTTATGACATGTGGTGCTATCGAGACTAGAGTGGTCCGGATGGGGTAAAATAAAATCAAAAAAATAATTTTGTATAGATTTAAAATATTTAATGAAATAAGAATATTTTCCTATCATTAAGCGGCTGTGTAATACGTACAGCAAAGCTCTGCGTATCTCCGTAGGGGCTTCTCAATTTCTGTGCTGCTGTTATTGCTTCCTGTAATTTAGAAAAAAAAATCAACAGCAGAAAATGTCTCAAGCATCTATACTAAATAAAGATCAATGTCTTTAAACCTAAGAACAGCTACGAGACTATCAGGAAAGCAAATTCCTTTGTGAAAAAAAGGTACTCGGCCCTTAAAGGCCGTCAACGTAATCTGCGGTTACTGTAGTGTTGCGGATGTCCATGGACGGTGGATCAAATAATTTTAGGCGATTCGTTGCAGAAAAAGAAAAATGTGCAGGTGTCCCTAAATACAAGTCCCAAATACGTTGATGAATATATTGTTAAAGTAAACTAACTAGCTTATTCAGTGTCCCAAACATCAATAGAATACAAATTCCTAACTGTTTAGTATTTGCTTTTTAACGAAAGTTTGTCATTTTAATAAACAGGGACCGAAATTAGCTACAATCTTCAACATTACACAATAAGATTAGTTCATCAAATGTCCTCGTACTTTTGAAGCTTAAGATAGATTGAGGTTCTTACCCTTTGAACTGGTAAACTTCTTGCTCGAACCAACCATAGTACTGACTCGGTGCACGGTGGAGCGGTCAATGAACCCTGGTAGCTCGCGTAGTCTTTGAAACGCGGCACAAAATAACTCAATGGATGGACAGTGGCAGAAACATTGAAAGTGCTTTGTCTTCTTAGGACCCTTAATACTTCCCGTAAACCTTTTTGTGTGTGATCTTCAAACTAAAAATAATATAGTTCATATATTCTACCTTACAGCTTAAAATTTTAAAACTTAATTACTTACTTAACTTAACGCTTTTAAGCAGAAAATAAATATTTGATGGAGTTATAAATATTTAAACAAAATTATAATATATAAAATTTGACAACTTATTCCATTTCAGGATGAGGAATCAAGATGTCTCAACAGATATATTCTTAATTGCTTAGTCAATTAAAATGAAATATAAAATTAACGATAATCTATTAAGAGAGTCTTGAAATAAAACATTCGCTTAATTGAAACGTCAATTCCGTAAAAGTTGTCTCAACGACAAGCTTCAAGACTTCCCCAAAGCGATTTAAAGTTTAATTAAATACGTAATAAATGAATAAGAGTTTGTTTTCTTTATTTCCATGATCTTTCGTAAGTAAACATTTTTTGACAACTCCTTAAGGGCTAAGCTAATTGAAAAGGGATCAGCGTTAATCCAATATTTTTTTCACCTTGTAAATGTTAACGATTCCAAGAAACGCCTGCGGGTCGCTCGGTGCTGCATCCAAAGCTTCCTTCATAGATCCGTATTCCGCTGATATATGCAAAGCTTGACTCTCCATAGGGAACTGTAGACCTCCTATCGTGTGTTCCGAAGGCCACACGAAACTCAACGAATGGAAAATATATCGTCGACTGTGTGCTGCACCGCCGTACACGAGCGGCATACGATTACGATCCCATTCACCGAAGAGCACAACTGCCAAGGTTACAAATTAATCATTCAAAATTGTAACATAATAATGTTACAAATTCTTCATTAAAAACTGTAACATATGCATCATTAAAGATTTTTTTTCATGTTTGTATAATTAAAATTTATAGTCTTAGGTAGGAACAGATAGAACATCGAGTTTAAAAGGTTAATCTTTTATAACAAAAACAAAAGAATGTCGCCGGCCGATCTATAAAATGTATTAATCTACAAATGCCATTAATTTTACGTAACAAATTAATTTAAGCAAGCCCTCTATATTGTTAAAACTCCAGTACCGTCTTTTGTTCCTTACCGTGGGTTTTCAAGTTCAAAATCTTCGTTTAAAACATATTGTTATCTCTGTATTGTCAAAGATAATGACAAGGATAACGATATGTTTTATACAGAGACTTCGGTGACAGAAACCCATGGTTAATAAATTTTAATTATTTGACAAGAGTGTCAAAAGTGGTCTTTATAGTTTACGTTTTCGACTGAGTAAAGTAAAATATGTCGGCAATCAGTCGTTCCTTTGTGTGCCACATGGTAGTCACAATGCTTTATTACGCGTTGACAACGCTTGCGTAATCAAGCTTTCACAGCTTTGTATCCTAACATCGCAATCCAACCCTGTTTAGAAATGAAGAAGAAGGAAAATTGGCTGGGCTACAAAACTAAGATTTGCAATTGTTTTTAGGGGATTGGAATCTTAGGATGAGAAGCATTAAGATTTGTAACTTTATTCTTTCCTTACCTCGTTTACCATCATTCTGAACAGTTATTTTCTCCGGGTAAAGATCATAGTTGGTAAATAGTAAGCGCCGTCCGCCCTTAGCTTTGACGAACCCTTGCAGCGGCAGATCAACCGGCGACTGAGAACGGCCTCCACAATCCGGGAACGTCTTACCCCAATCATTTTGATCTGTTGAAACGAGGTACGGTTGACAAGGCGTGAAAGAAAACATGAGGAACTTTTTTACAATCTCTATGTAACTGACAATCATATTTTATATTAATGAACACAATCAAAGATTAACAAATTGTGTACTTTTAATTTAAAAAATGTAATTTCTTTGATGACTTACTTTTGTAATCCCAATCAGCGGTGACGTCAACTGAAATAAATATTGTATAAGAAAAAAAAATGGTATAAACTATCAACAAGTAGAAGTAGACATTTTTTTTATTTTAAGATAAAACTAGCTGTCGCACGCGACTCCGTCCGCGTGGATATATAAAAAACTTAATTAGTGTATCCTATGTGTTCTTTCAGACTATGTTCTATACGTATGCCAAATTTAATCGAGATCCGTTCCGATATCTTCAAACACCCATCCATCCATCCACATCACATCCATCTAAACATTCGCATTTATAATATTAATAAGTTAAATAAAACGCAGCTCTTTAAGGCATTCGAAAAAAAATAAAAAAAATTAATGATTAGTATTCTATGTCCGTCTCCTGGCTCTAAGCTACCCCCTCACCAATTTTAAGCCATATCGGTAAAGCCGTTCTTGAGTTATAAATAGTGTAACTAACACGACTTTCTTATATATATAAAAGATTTCAAACAACTGTAAAGACACAAAAACATAATATTGTTTCTTACCAGGTTCCGTCTTCGTATTATTCTTACTTGTTGCTTTATCTTGATGACTCTATGGATAAGAGGATATCAGTAATTTAAACATCTAAAGAAAAATTTACACAATCTACCTTTTTTTTTAAACCATACCTCCTTATCATCATCAGCTTGCCCCTATGGAGGGTCGGCAAAAAATATACTACACATCCATATATCTCTATCAGTAGTCATATCTGAATTTACTTTCTTCTTACACATATCCTCTTTCACACCATCTATGCATACTTTCTTTGATCTCTACCTTTTTAGTCATCATCATTCAATCCCATTACTTTCTTAGGCGTATGATCATTAATCATCATCATCAGCTCACTATACTTCCCCACCGATGAGCTCGTAGCCTACTCAAGTGAGCGGCGACTAGGCCATAGTCAACCACACTGGCCAAGTGCGGGTTGGTTGACTTCACACATATCTTTGAATTTCTTCTCAGATATGTACATATGTAAATCGAAAATTGAAAAATCATATTGGTACATGGTGGGATTCGAACCCAGGACCTGCAGATCAAGTCAAGACAAGTGCCTAAACCCCTGAGCCAGCGACGCTCCTAATATGATCACTAAACTATTTCTTATTTCATTGTTTCAATAATACAACATTTCAGTTTACTTTCTATAAAAATTGAGTTTTAATTGTTGTTTATTTCAGTTTAATTAAATAAGTTTCTTTTGCATCACTTACAGCGCTTCTAGGTCGTCGCGACGTCACTAAATATGTGATATCTGGGAACGGTGTGGGCAAATGGAACACCCAGATCGTCTTAGGCTGTAAAGAACATAAAAATATTCAAAATATTTGTAACAATTACTGCAGCAATGTATTTTGCAAGAGCAAAGCACCACGAGTAGTGAAATACTACGAGAAAAGACAGGTGTGGAGTAGAACATATTCTGCGTTCTATCCAATGAGTTTTGAAGACCTTATTTTATTTCTCGTTTCGCTTAGCATAGAACCTTTCCATTAAGGGAGCAATCTTTCAAGAAAAAAATGCTTTTGAAAATGATTTTTCCTACTAATGTTTACCTATTAAAATGCCCAGATCCAAAAGCCGTGGTTTTAATTTTATATCTGTGAGCAAGCGACAGTGAAGCCATAACTACTATTAGTAATGTGGATAGAAAAACAACAAAACATTTTGTTAT